AGAACGGAAGCGACATTGCAAAAGAGAGGGAGAGAGGGAGAGAAAACACACAAGTCTTTCCTGTTGGCACTCGAACGTATCAGGCATGCGAGTCGAAGAAGAAGGAAGATGGATCATGCCCAAGTCAGCGACAGAGTCATTTTCCGCTACACTCGCATGCACTCCTCGGCACGTGAATGCACTATTCTCTGCTTGACGCTGTTCCACCGAGTCTTGCTGAAACCACACAGTGGAATGGCCCACACTGGAAAGCAACCAAAACCCATAACGTTGGCTTCTTCTGACGTTGACAAATGAGACAAGACCAAGGTTGCGACAACAGATCAGCACATTGAGCTTGTCGCTGAGATGCAGGCTTTGGAGCTTGGTGTGCGAATCCCAACGCCTCTGAAGTCCCTCGCAAGGTGCTTTAAGGCGAACGGTGGGCGAGATGGCCCTTTTCAAGTTCGGTTCAGGATAAAAGGCCCGGTCCGGAGGCCCGCATCCCGTCTGCGAAATCGCTACCACACGGGTATGCAGGCACGCAATGTCATGGACGCTGTAGCTCCGATGCTCCTCCCGATGCGTCACGGCACGTCGCTTGTCTTCGCAGATAGTACGAGAAATGAGGATACGTTTTCCCAACTTTTTCCGAACACAGACTTCGATCTTTCAATTGTCAGGAAAAGGTAGACTCCCGTACAATACCTCACGCCGACGTCATCCTGTGTTCACTGGACCGCTGAGATCACAGTGGTACATGGCAGTAGGTGCATCGTTCGCAGGACGACCTGGTTACAGATAAACCCCTCGTCTGCAACCCCTCTTTGAGACAGCACATCTCAACCACCCGACAACCCCGCCGTCACACATCAGATCTCCCAGAGACAAACCTTGTTACCATGGCTTCTTTTCAGGAATGGACGGTGAAGGAGCCTTACCTTCACCTGCACAGTGGTCTGGGTGAGGGTCCCTATTACGAGAAGCAGACCAATACACTGCGTTGGGTGGACATTAAGCAGAAGAAGCTGCACAGCATTGACGTTGACATTGGGCTCGACTCATTAAAGACTCTTCAGCTTGATGTGGCCGTCACCGTGACAGCCGACATCAAGGGCGTTGACCCAAAGGACAAGATTCTCGTTGGTCTCAAGTACGGTCTCGCGGTGCTAGACCGCGCTTCTGGCAAATATGAGTACATTGACAAGCTGCGCATCGCCAACCCCGAACGCATCCGCACAAACGACGGCGCCATTGATCCCAACGGACGTTTCTGGGTTGGGAGCATGACAGACTTTGGATTTGGTGATTTTCAACCAGAAGGTACGTACGGCATTTCCTCTGTATCGACCAAGGATGACTTGCTTGTCGTGCCTCGACTCATGTGGCCACTTATCACAAACATCAGGCCGGGTGTGATTCTGCAGGCATATTTGACCACCCCCATCCCCGCTTCTGCATTGAGTTTGGGGCTGATTGTCTTGTCTAGGGGCTCTTCACCGCTTCGACGGCAAAGAAAAGCAGGAAGTGGTGATCGAGGGCCTCACGATCCCCAACTCAATCGGCTGGTCGCCAGATGCCAAGACCATGTACTACACGCATTCCACAGAGGGTACCGTGTACGCCTGGGATTATGACGTGGCTGACGGCAGCTACACCAACCACCGTGTTTTCTACAAGCACCCCACGCCTGGCCACCCGGACGGCTTCCGCGTCGACACGGACGGCAACCTCTGGCACGCTGTGTACGGCGAGGGCCGTGTCCTTAAGATCTCGCCCGAGGGCAAGGTCGTTGGCGAGATCAAGCTCCCGACGCCCAACATTACTTGCACGCAGTTTGTGGGCACAGAGCTCTACTGCACGAGCGCCAGCATGGACGAGGGCGACGAGGGCACCAAAGAGCAGAGGAAGTACGGTGGCGCTCTGTTCAAGGTCGACGTCGGCGCCAGGGGCCTGGACTTTTACGAGTTTAAGCTCTAGAAGGAGAAGCGTTCGCGTCCGAGACGAACGGCACAAAACGTGGGCATGCAGGCACTCACATGCAACCGGGGCTACCGCGGAAAGTTTTTTTTTCCTTCTTCCGTTTTGAGCAGTGGCCGATATGCGTCGACGCGTGTCATAAGGCGATGGGCTGGACAGCGGTATGGTGGCATTCCAACTTGCGTGCGTCGACGACGACGGATGCTCACCGCTGGGCGTCGATGGCATATCGGGCCTCTCTTCAGGCATCAACGATGTTATTCCTTTCGATCCTTGCTGTCCCTCACAGATGAGATGTCACCTGTTCCGTGTTTCGTGTGCTGCAACCATTTTCGACCAAAGCAACGATGAATGTTAACCCCCCCCCCCCCCCCCCCCCTCCCCTCCTTTCCTTGTGGAAAAGGGGCTAACGCCGCTTGGGAAAAACCCTTTTAAAGGCCCCCCCCCCCCTTTTTTTCTCCCTCCCCCCCCTGCCGGCGTCCCGGGGGAATGGCTTGCATCCCCTGCCCGAGGGAAGCCCGTCAAAGAAGGATGGCGGGGGGCTGGCCCGGGGCCCCAGAAATATCCCGGGTGCCGGGGCAACCGGGGCCGGGGGTATCCCCCCGTAACCTTGGGTTCTTTTTTCCCCGCCCCGGTGCCCGCGAGCCGGAGGCCCCCGACGTGGCTACCATGTACAGTAAGTACATGCGCGACTGCTGCTGCCCGGCCTACCGCGAGGCCGGGGATCGCCCTGCGTGACAGCTCACCGACGAACCCCGTTCCCTGTCCGGCGTGCTTGGTACCTACATAGCCCGGCAGAAGATGGCAGGGTCTTGGCCACATTTTCCACCCATCTTCTTTCTGTTCGGCATCGCAGCCAGCCGTACACCCTCAGCATCCGTCTCCCTTTCTCTCGTCTACACGAGACATGCTGAGCGGAAAAGAAGGAATATGACGGCAGCCGGCAGCCGCTTCGACTACAAGCAACGGCAGGAGCTCGATCTAACAGACAGCAGGCCAGGGAGCTCCCCGGCAGAGAAAACAATTCATCCGGCCAAGACGACAAGGGCCCCTCCCCTCCCTCCCCTCCAGGGCCATCCCCTCTTCTCGATCGGGCCATGGAGCGCCGCTGCGTCGACGTCATGGGACGACTTTGGTCACCGCTGCTTGCGGACGCCGAGGTCTTTCTTCTTTCCCACAGCAACGACGACGAGGTCGTGCGGGTTTCTGTGTCTGTGGCGGAGGTGGAACGCATGGGTTTGATGCCCGTCCCCCCACCCGCGCCAGCCAGCCCGCCAGACAGACAGCCAGCTGGACGACTAGACTGGATTCGGGACGAGGCTATCGACAAGCGAAGGGCCGCGCGAGGCCGACCCGGCTGAGACTTTCGTCCGCTCGGAGGGGCGACGGGAGTGGTTCCCGGGTGACGCGAGGGGGCGTAATGGCGGAGGCGAGAAAAAGGCCATGATGGACCAGGGGGGGGGTGGGGGAATGCAGTGGGATGGAGCTGGGTAAGGGTTTGAAAATGCAGGGGTAGCCGGTTCCGGGGGCGCGGACTTCGGGACGAAGGCGGCGGTGAAGACGGCGGTGAGGGGCGGCCGGGGGGGTTTTGTAGCCGGAGAAAAACAAAAGGCGGGAGGCTGGAGGCTGGAGGCTGGAGGCGGTGAGCTGGGGTTGAATTCGGAAAAGGCCCGGGATAAAGTGAGAGATGAGAGGTGAGAGAGAGAGAACGCAAGCGTAAAAAGGGAGACAGAAAAATAGAGTGAAGAATGCAGGATCGAGGGGTACGTTAACAAGGCCGAACGGAGGAGACATGGTTCGACATGTACCCAGGTTGCACGCAGGATGGGAGGGAGACGGGCTGAACAAACGCGCGACATCGCTGATGTCGTTTCTCTTGACCGGGGGTTGTTGCTCTCCATGGTGCACAGGCCTCTTCTTCAAGCCGATGTCCAGCCTCGCAGGCTACTGTCGCCATGCAAGGGTGAGCCACTGGGTAGGCTGTAAGTAAGTCGGTGTGACCATTTGTCAGTGCTGATGGAGGACTGTCAGCTGCATTGCTGAGGCTGTTGATGCTGCTGAGAAGCCAGCGTTACTCGGAACGATCAGTGCTATCTGGCTACATCTGAGTAGTGGTGGCAGATGAGATAATTGCATGGCCCCAATGTGTGCTCTGCTCCGATTGGGAAAGCAGTTGAGAGTTCATGGCATCCAACGCCAGGATGATAGATGTTTCATGATTGTGACTGCAAATGAACAGCCTTGTCATTGCGTTGTTGACACAAAATGTGCTAGTGATGTATGCCGCTCACAGAGAGCATTCCTATGTAAGTCGGAGGCTGGCGGCCTTGTCTTTTTTGGATCCATTGTATAATAAAGTTGAGTATCTTCACTGCAAGATTCTGTCGACATCACTGCATCTAATCGTCCTCACTGATCATCCCGCGGCCCGTTACCGACGAGGAGACAATCTCGAGGATCCATGACCGTCACGTCGCTCTGGAGACTTCTTGAATCTAAAACTTGATTCCCGGGAAGCTGTGAGTGAAAGAACTCAAGATACTCTAGCCGGAAAGTGTCCCCATTGCGATATGTGAGCCTTTCCCAGATCTAGAACCACGAGAATGTGGAACAGGGGATATCGGAATACCCAGATCCTAAGATGGTGTGATCAAAAGGTTATGGCAACCAGGCCGTGGCGACTTAACCATGAGGCATAAAAGATCATTGAAGTGTATGATAAAACTCTCTCGGATCCCTGTACTCTGGGTTTATGGTCCTATCTACCTTGAGGCCAATGATATTGTCGTTGAAACCAGATCGCAAGCTGGACTTGCGAGCTTGGGCGATTTCAGTCCAGTCACTTTGCACCTCTGGGTCACGCGCGTACCGTCCTCACTTTTTGATGTTCATGATGAATGAACTCCATATACGCATACTTGATCGGCAACGGTGGTTACTCTGGCTTTCACCCTAGTTGTCGTGGACCAGGTGTAGTGAAGGGAATATTGTGGAAATGAAACTGTACCATTCAACGTCACAACTACTTCACCAACATGAAGGCGCCAATGAAGCCAATCACCCGAGTCTCGTCGTCATGGCCCGTATCATGACAGTCGTTGAAGTACATATTGCGATCCTCAAAAACGGGCAAACCTGCCATGTGTTCTGCCATGCAACCGGATGCCATGCGGTCGAACGCTCACCCTCATCAATCCGCATACGAGATCTGTAAGGCAGTACGTCAGACCCAAATTTCCTCCATGTCAAGATTTGTGACGTCCCTCCATGGGGCTTGTATCAACGAAAATGTTTTTGGGAAACCCAACGAAGGGCGAGTGCCCTTGTTCAACACCTGTCAGCATCCCACCTCCTGTCCTCCCGGTTCTGGATAGCAGGCAACAACCGGCCCTAGAATCTGACAAACTAGAACAACTCGCCAAGGGGAAACCCACTCAGAACGGCTGGCTCTACGCCTCGACCAACGCCCCGTCGCCCAAGTCGCCGTGCGCCTGGCCTGCCCTCCGCTCTGCCGACCACAAGCTCGAGTCGCATCGAGGACGTGGCGTCGGCCCACGATGCCGGCCGCCCGGCAGCGTGTACAGCCCGGGCAGGCGACGTCAGGATCCCCGCCGTGCCGCGCTTCTTCCAATTTTACACGCCACATGACGACGAGCTGACCGTCTCCCTGCTTCGGTGCGCCCACGAGTCCGGATCCACGACCTCCATGCAGAGGACGGATACGTGGCAGCTCGGCTGGCGGCACGTCGATGTCGCGACGTCCAATCGTGACTTAAACCGCGGCAGCGGGGCCGACCTCGGCCTCTCCGACCCCTTCTTCCGTGCGCGGCTCCGGGGAAAAAGGCATCGATCCGGCGGAACAACCTGAGAAGGCGACCGCCATGTGGATGGATAGCATCTGGCACGGCCGCGCCTGGTCCTGGGACAAGGCCGTTAGAGCGCGTGAAACGCGGCGCGAGATCAGCGGCGGCATGGTCCTTCCTCATCAAAGGAATCCAGCGGGTTGACAACGCCGAGAGGGCAGCGGATCTCGGTTTCGACGGCGTCGTCGTCAGCAACCACGAACGGCGGCAGGTCGATGGCGCTGTCGCGAGCTTGGAGAAGATGATTTGATAGCGTGGGGGGCTCGTCGTGACGTTTGACAGCGGCGTCAGGGGTGCGGCGGATATCGTCAAGGCGCCAGCGCTGGGTGCCAAGTTCGCATTCGTCGGGCGGCTCTAGATCTAGTGGCTCAGACTCATGGTTGAGTCTGACGTTCGTTATGTGCTTATGAGTTTGTTTGCGGATCTGGACATTTTGACGAACGTTGCGGGGATCAACAGAGTTGAGGATATCACCAAGGATTTGATAAAGTCTCTGCCGCCGTCGTATGCCTTGCTCAACAAGAAGGCCATGCTGTAGGAAACATTGCTCAAGTAGGTTCAAACCTAGGCTTCGTCTTAACCGTCGTATTGCGACTAACCGAATCAGGCTGACCAGACCTGTTGAGGCTTCCATGTGCGCCATGGGCTACGTGCTTTACTTGGTATTTCCTGTTCCAAGGACTGTATAGAACTGTATCAGAAGGCGAGGAATATGGCTCAAACTAAAAGCCAATTGAGTACAATTAGAGACTTTCTCTGAAGGGGTCTGCCCAGAGCATCTTAGCACAATGCGTCCACTTCATTGTTCTGAAAAAGAACGTTATATCTAATTGGATCATACATCGAAAGACAGGAATTACAACCCCAAAGGCGGCGCCGTCACTATTCGCCACCACTGACGAGTCCCCAATCATAAAATACATCTGTCCATCTTCCACGCGCCATACGACAATGCTGTGCTTGAAATCCCTGAATGAATCAAACGCCATATAGTGGCCTGCCGCAGCCCGCGGCTAGATGACCGCCGTCGCCGTCGCGATGGCCAAGCTTGCACATTCTTTATATGCTGCGCAAAGTTCGGGAAGAGTTGAGGTCTTGACGGGTACTTCAGAGACGATCTGCTTCTTCTGCTTTTCGTAGCTCTTCTTCCTGCTCAAGGTTGTTCTCTTCCTAATCCTTTGTCGTGGCCGTTTCCGTTGCCGCACTCTGGGACAATGTTGGCATGATGTGCCCTTCGTGGTCATCGCCCGGGCACCGCTCTCGCTCAAGCTTCATGTTCATGATAAGGCTGAGCTCGGGGCAGTAGTTGAAGATGTTCTTCCTCTGAGCAGCATTCTTCCAGACGTCACTATTCAAGGACTGGCCACCGTCACGGACGTGAAAGCCCATGGGATTCTCCTTGTAAACGTCTTCGACTGCGAGCACACCATCCTCCTTGGCTGCGACCTTGGCGTTGGGAAGGATCCACATGCGTCGCCCAAACCACTCATCCTCTGGCTCTGTATCGTTGTACCGTTCCTGAATCTTGAGAACACGTCTGATCGCAGAGACGCGTCTCAAGCTTAAGCCTCCATTGCCTGAAAACCTGTCATCGTGCGTCCTGGGAATTCAGGTCAGTGGTTGGAGTTGGTTCGGTCAAGATGCCGCTACTCACCGTGACGCGCCAGCCCAGCTCCAGTGGAGCCACTCGTTCAGGCTGGAGTTTGAATTGGAGCAAAGAATGCTGTCGTGCTCGTATTTGAGGATCCATTCGATTCCCGGAAGAAACTCATCGTAGAACCGCATATCAGTCAAGAGGCGATAGACGTGTTCCTTCGTGTCAATTCGCCAGGGCTCAGGTAGGACCATGAGATCGAGCTTGCCTACAACCTGCTGGTTCTTGATTGCATAGCTTCTCGCCACGCTGACAACGGTTTCTTTGGAGCCAATGAAGAGGAACCGCCAGTCTGGTGGAACGACGGATGACATGTGCAGGATCTGAGGCACAAGATGTGGGATGACGCGGGGCTCGATCATGAGGGCTACCTTGGACTGATTAAAGCGCGCGCGGGGGTCGGCGGAGGGGTTCCAGTCGACCTTGATGCTGGGTATTTTCTGCCTGGCTTGCTGGAGTCTGGAAGACAAGCCAGCCTCAATGGCTGGCTGATAATGAGGGAGGATGTGTGCGAACCACCATCTTCATGTTGATCAGTGGTAGAACCAAAAGGAGGGGCAGCTTAGAGGAACATACGTCAAAACCAGCGACAGTGCTACTAGGAGGCGGTTCCTCGTAATGGCGAAGATGCCCGCTTGAGTTGTCGCGATAGTCATGGCGACGAAACAGACATTGATCAGGTAGATGCGATGGGCGCAGATGTGATGCAGAAGGGAACAGAAAGCCTGAAAAGAACAGTATGGAGTAGTCGCGAAGGAATCTTTCCCAAGGGCGATCATAGGTCTCAATGGCGTTCTAGCGGCAGTTGAGAACGGGCCAGGGAGCATGGACTTAGGTGCGTCACATCGTCAGAACTTAAAGGAGATGAAACAGTCAGGGAGAAATCTTTACGGCTGACGTTGGCGCCTTTGTTTCGTGTGCCCATTTGTGTATGTTCGTTAGACCAGGGACCAGCGTTTGGATCTGGACAGGTCCAAAGTTTTGCAGGTTGATATTGAGCGACCACAAGAATGGGGAAGGCCATTGCAGACAAGACAAGGCAACAGCAGTACTGATGAGGGGGAAGGAGCCAGGGAGCGTGAAGCCACTTCCTGATTAGGAACGAAGGGTCGAATGAAGGCGCAGGGGTGGAACCTAGTTGCTGGGAAGTTACGTACTTCGAGTGACCCATCCAAACACTACCTACATAGGTAGGTACTTTTCATCTACTGTACAGTACCAGTGCCCCAACTTGTGTTGCGCTTCGGGATGAATAATTGACCATAATTTCATTATCTAAGAAAGTTCATGAGATGAAATGAAAAAAGATGGGTAATTGAAAAGCA